GGCTGCCAGGCGCGGTTCTCTGGCAGGCTGGGCGGCTCGATCTTGTCAGCTCTGCATCACCCCGCGCCTCCCAATGCAAGGGTGGCCCGCCTGGCCGCCGTGGCACACAGACAAGATTGCCTGGATGTCCGCGTGCGTGCGTGCGTTGCGCGCAGGAACAACCTGATGGAGCCGCTGATGACGGTGTTCTTTGAGAACGGGGCGCGCTACAACCTGCTGAACAGCGCGGTCCTGGAGCTGGTGGAGTTTGTGCGCAAAGAGAATATCCGGGTGCGGGGGGCAGGGGGTGGGGGGGTCTCGCCAGGCTGGTATGAGGGTGCGTGTGTATTTGTGTGCGGGTGCAAGCCTGCGTGTGTGTTTGTGTGTGTGCGCGCGCTTTGAAGGGGCACCGGCAGACACGGCGGAGTGTGCAGCGCCCGGGCGTTGAGGCCGGCCGAAACCCCGCTGAAGGCAATCAGCATGATGGGGGCCCTGCCAGTGAAGGCTCGACCCAGGACTCCCTTTTTCCCTGCGAAAGGGCTGCCCGGCCGGCCGCACACGGTGCTTTGCGCGCCCCACGCCCCTGGTCCCGCGCGCGCTGACGCGCCTGCGCGCCCCCGGTGCCCGTGCCCTTTCCCCCAGGAGCTGATCTCGTGGCTGGTGCAGAGCTTTGGGGACCGCTTCGACGAGGTCGAGTACGTCGACACATTCAAGCAGGCGCGCACACAAACCGCCCACGCCGCAGGGGGCTGCGCCCCTCCGCGCTCCGCCCGCGCATCATCGGCCTCCCCAGAACACACATACCCCATCTCCCCGGTCAGGCCTGATTATCCCGTCCCCCCACTGCCCTCTCGCTCCTCACAACCCAGCGAGCACGACGACTTCCCACACCCCCTTGTCGCTTCCCGTGATCCTGTCGTGTCTTGTTGCGACATGCCACCCCCAAACCCCCACCCCCCAAACAGGTGCGCATCAAGTACGACCAGGCCTTGGAAAAAGCAGAGGCCGCGGCCGGCGCCGGCGACGCCCCCGCCGCCGCCGCCGCGGGCGACGGGCAGGCCGCGGCCGCGGGCCTGGGCGGGCGCCTGCACCTGGCGCGGCAGCGGTGGCGGCGCGACGCGCGGGATCTTGATCGGGATGAGGAGGATTACTTCTCATCAGAGGGGGACGACGGCGACGACGGCGGCCGGCACCAGGGCGGGGCCGCGGCGGGG